AATACTTTGTGCAGTGACTACATGGTGCATATTTATGTTCATGTATCCTAACTGATCATGGGCCAGCCTCACCTTCAGCCCTCACTACTCCCAAGTTACTAAGAATTTGCAGGTACTTTCAGGGGTTCTTGTAGTCATTTCTCTATTGCTTTTTCACCTTCTCTGCATTGTAGGTTGAGCTGACCTTTCCAAACTATAAGAAAATAAATGTCTGTTGTAATCTACTTAATTTACAGCAGTTTGTTTTGGCATCCCTAGCAGACTAATCATGTAATCAAGTTCTGTTGCACTTTGCCAAAAATACTGAAAATTCTACTATCTCAAGTGCTATTTCAAGTATCCATTTTGTTATATTCAATTAATGAATAGAATTTGCAATAAAATAGATTATCTGGGTAATGTCCTTGTGGCTTGATCTTAGGGAGTTTCACAAGTAATTTATTCTAATACATTAATAAATATTAGGGATAATTCACTTTAAAAAAACTTAATAGGGCAAATTTGCATTATAACTTTTGACAATGCCTCACCTCATTTTTCAAGTAGAAATCAGTTTTTCAGAGCTTCCAAAGCCAAAACTGATTTGTTGCTAATATTATGTTCTAATATTAATAATAATGACAGTAGATACCATTTATTAAATGCTTATTATGTGTCAGCAACTGTGCTAAGCATGTCACATATTTTTGCTATTATTAACAGGGACTAGAATTGGAGTAGAAATAAACATGTGTGCTAAAATGATCATCTTACCTACTAGTAGAGTAATTTTAAATGGTATTATGAACCCCAGCAAGTTTATAAAACCTCTAGAATGTATTAACTGTTAAAGCAATAGCAATGCCAATGCTGTGCCATAGCAGGTAAAGCTACTGCCTGCAGTGCCAGCATCCCATATGGGCACCAGTTTAAGTCCCAGCTGCTCCACTTCCGATCAAGGCCTCTGCTATGGCCTGGGAAAGAAATGGAAGATGCCCCACGTCCTTGGGCCCCTGCCACCTGCATGGGAGACCCAGAAAAAGCTCCCAGCTCCTGGCTTGAGAGCAGCTCAGCTCCTGCCATTGTGGCCAATGGAGGAGTGAACCAGCGGATAGAAGACCTCTCTCTCTCCCTGTCTCTCTGCCTCTGCCTCTCTGTAAATCTGCCTTTCAAATAAAAATAAATCTTTAGAAAAAAGCAATAAGTATGACCATTAAAAAACATTTAAATATTTGGAAAAAAAGAAGATAGTATTCAGTATTACCGATAGGCATGATATATCAAATGGCAAGAAAGACACTGTGTATTGGATTCTAACTAATTGAAATTGGTCATAATGTTCTCTAGGTCAAAGTTAAAGTGATTTGTTTTAATATCTATGAAGAGAGTAATCTAATGATCAGTTTTATGTATTATAATTCAGAGGGCTTCTATTTACATTTAATGTCTTAAAGAAAGGCATTCTTCATGTAATTTAAACAAATAGGTAGCATTAATTCTTCATCATACCACAGACAATTCAGGGGAATACTGAGTCTGAGCAGGTCTTCAATGTGCACTAACAAATGTCCTAGTGTATTTGTATGTTTATTTACTTTTCACAGAATAATTCATATCAACTAGTTGTTTCATATTGGGCTTTAAGTAGCATGGATATTTTATAAGACACTAAATTATAATAACTATATTGAAAACATATTTCATATTCTGAAAACCACTATTTTCACCAACCTCATGCTCTTCTATAAGGAGTTAATTGGAATTTTATGCACAATTGATGCAATCGTAAAATAAAAATGTTTCCTGAAGTAGAAGCCAATGTGGAAAAGAAGACCTTGAAGGCTGTGAGAGGTAGATTCATACTAGGAAATAAAAAGAATCTTAAAGAAGATAATAGAAAACTGTATATGTGAGAAGGAAAAGATGCAAGAAAGGATAAGTTTTAGCCTAAGAAAAGTAAGATGGGATCAAGAGACAGATGGGGACGCTGAAGCTGCTTCTGGTTGAGCTATGATTTGTGTCAGTGTGCAATAGTAAAATGCTCTATCAATCAGGTGAGAGAAAAGTAGAAAAATGTGTGATGATTTTTATAACCAGCATTATTGTATGCAAAAGACTAGATATTGCTAAACACTTTCAACACCTAATTCATTAAATGCAACAAACCCCTCGTTACAGATGAAAACACTGAAAGCCAGCGATGTTAATTCTACAGCTTGTAACAAGAAGAGCTGGGACGGTTTTGCACTCAGCTCACTCACCTAACTTGTGTGCTGGTAGTTCCTATTTTTAAGCAAAACATGATGCAATTAGAGATTGAGAAAGATCCAACGAACAAGTGAATAGAACACCTAGAGCTGTTTGGATTCTGATTTCTCAGCAAAGACCTCTCACAGCAAGTTGTTGAATTAGTGGCTTTTTAAAACATAAAAACATTTTGACAATGTAATTCCAGAACTTTGACCTTGAATCATATTGGTTAGACATTTTGAGTCTATTATTTTGTACTCTTTATGACAGAATACAATATGAAAATAGTTACTCTTTGCCCTTTTTATATCTTTTAAAAAGTTAGTCTATATGTCAAAAACATAAAAAATAATGTCTCCATATTTATTAATGAGGGGGAATCATCCAAGTAGAAGCTCTAAAATGGTGTCTGATTATTTCAATATTATAGTAAATTTATTCTTTTGATCAAAATTACCAGTGATTGTGGGTAATAGATGGAATATGACCTTTTATACTGATGAAAATGTCTTTCTTTTCTCTTTGCTGCTCTCATGACTTTGCCCCTATGGCCTAATATCCTGTGTAGCTGAGGGATTAGGGTCCCCACAGCTCTAGCTGAAGTACAGTCTACACAGTGAAATGCGATTCCCTCTGATCACACTGTCATGGGGACGATTGTGCCTTCTTACCCTCCACTTCCAGCTTCACCAGTTTGGAATACGCTGTCCCAAGGCTGTTTTTTGCCACACAGCGATACTGTCCTGCATCTTCTTTTTGTACATTGTGTATCCTTAAGCTCCCAGATTCAAGAACTGCAATGCGAGAATTTTCCTGCCAGAGATAGGGACATAAATTTGAAAACATCCATGGCTCTCTCAAAGATACATTAACCATATTTTATCAAGTTGTCTGTTATCATCAAAAACTTCAGCTTTTACTATGGAATTTATGACATACAACACAATATTAAATGGGACAGTACAAAATTACCAAATTCAACTTTCACAATGATCCCATGATGAATAGACTACTTTTTATTTTGTTTCGTATGAGGACTTGTTTAAGATCCTAAAAGTCAAACCCAGGTCTGTTTGAATACAAGCAGTGCCTTTTGACTAATTTAGTTGCTATAAACCCTATGTGGTATTCTTTTTTTTAAAACTTTTATTTAATGAATAAAAATTTCCAAAGAACAGCTTATGGATTACAATGGCTTCCCCCCATAACGTCCCTCCCACCTGCAACCCTCCCCTTTCCCACTCCCTCTTTCCTTCCATTCACATCAAGATTCATTTTCGTTTCTCTTTATATACAGAGATCAGTTTAGCATACATTAAGTAAAGATTTCAACAGTTTGCTCCCACACAGAAACATAAAGTGAAAAATACTGTATGAGTACTAGTTATAGCATTAAATCTCAATGTACAGCACACTAAGGACAAAGATCCTACATGAGGAGTAAGTGCACAGTGACTCCTGTTGTTGACTTAACAAATTGACACTCTTGTTTATGGCATTAGTAATCACCCTAGGCTCTTGTCATGAGCTGCCAAGGCTATGGAAGCCCCCTGAGTTCACTGACTCTGATAATTTTTACACAAGGCCATGGTCAAAGTGGAAGTTCTCTGCTCCCTTCAGAGAAAGGTACCTCCTTCTTTGATGACCCGTTCTTTCCACTGGGATCTCACTCATGGAGATCTTTCATTTAGGTTTTTTATTTATTTTTTTTTTCCCCAGAGTGTCTTGGCTTTCCATGCCTGAAATACTCTCATGGGCTTTTCCGCCGGATCCACATGCCTTAAGGGCTGATTCTGAGGCCAGAGTGCTGTTTAGGACATCTGCCGTTCTATGGGTCTGCTGTGTATCTCACTTCCCATGTTGGATCGTTCTCTCCCTTTTTTATTCTATCAGCTGGTATTTGCAGACACTATTCTTGTTTATGTGATCCCTTTGGTTCTTAGTCCTATCATTATGATCAATTGTGAACAGAAATTGATCACTGGGACTAGTGAGATGGCATTGGTACATGCCACCTTGATGGGATTGAATGGGAATCCCCTGGTATGTTTCTAACTCTACCGTTTGAGGTAAGTCAGCCTGAGCATGTCCCGAATTGCACATCTCTTCCCTCTCTTATTCCCACTCTTATATTTAACAGTGATCACTTTTCAGTTAAGTTTCAACACTTAAGAAGAATTGTGTATTGATTACAGTATTCAACCAAAAGTATTAAGTAGAACAAACAAAAAAAAATACTAAGAGGGATAACATATCAAGTTGCTTCATCAACAATCAGGGTGAGGGCTGATCAAGTCAATGTTTCTCATAGTGTTCATTTCACTTTAACAGGTTTCCTTTTTGGTGCTCAGTTAGTTGTCACCTATCAAGGAGAACAAGTGGTATTTGTCCCTTTGGGATTGGCTTATTTCACTCAGCCTATGTGGTATTCTTAAAAGAATATATATTCTTTCAAATTTTTTGATTCTTTGGAGTTAAAATATTATATTTATCTTCTCTTTTTGCACCTTAACTTTGGTAACACACATAGAGCCACACTTTGTTTTTCATTGCAGGAAATGCATTGAGATGTATAACAAAAGGAAATAAGGAGAATTACATAGATTATAATTTAAAAATTGACTTTATCAGTCTTATTTGAAACAAAACAAACCTTCTAAGTTTAGTATCTTATTTCAATTAATTGACCTATATATCAACACTATGTTTTCCCCATGGAATATGCTGGGCATAATAAGGCATAAAATATACTCTGTAGTCTCATTTTGGGTGACACAAAGATAGAAAGAGACAATTATGGAGCAGGATTATAATTTATCAGTAATGTGGGGATAAAATACTAACCAGCACAAAATGAGCATATGAAGAATCGATTTTTAAATCAATTCTCTTCCCAACTGAGGCCAGAGTGTTTGTTACCAGTCATCAGTCTTGTTCTACCTTCTCTCCAGTGTTCTCATTTCTTTCCTTACAAACCTCATTTCTCTTCCTCTTCCCAGAAACTGTCAGTTCTAAAATCTAGATTTTAGTCTTACTCATTTTACCCCCTATGTTTTAAACATTCAGTGTTTAAAAAAGTGAATTAGTATTCAACTAAGTGATAAAAAAGGACTCTACTCTGGCTTGGGATTTTTATTTTTCCCCTTTTGCATCCCTAATACTATTGGCTCCTATCAGTTTTTTCCTAGCTAGTCCCAACTGGAATGCCCTACAGTTTGCATTTGTGGAATAGATATATTTGTTTGCCTAAAAGTATATGGAAAAACATTTAAATTAATACAATAATTAATTAAAAATAAAACTGTTTTTAAGTGCCTCATTCTTCAAGGGATAGTTTTATTTTAAAATGTTTACTGTATGTGTGTTAACATCACAGTTACTTACCCTGAGAGCATTGTCTCCCTTGATCCACGACACTGAGGGCTTGGGGTTGCCCATTGTAGTACATGGTAGAACTGCTTTTAATCCCTCTATGATTTTTACGTTTATGGGAGGACGAGTTATTTTAGGTTCTGAAGGAAAATGAAAATAAAAAAATTAAAAAGGCATATTAAATCTGGAGTTCCAGACTTTCTATGTAATTCTAAATATCCACTTTACAAATAATTGTGAGCATATTATGAAAGTCACACAATGCAAATACTTCAGTAGATATCACACAGACATCAACTTTTCAAGCTTAAGGTTTCTCTTTTACTAAAATCTTATTTGCAAAACACAAATCTATGAAACGTATTAGGAATACAAACCTAGCACAGATAGCATAGAAAATCTCTCACACACTCACACTCTGAAAAAAAAAGAACCGTTGATTTCCTCCAGCCTAACAATGTTAAAACATAAGAAACAGTGATGAAAGACAACTCAATAACCTAATGGATGAAGATCCCAGGAAATCTTAGATTCCACTAATTTGTATGGTGCTGGTATGCATGTTTATATTATTTTTCCCATCAGGGACGTGGTGCCAGAGAAGACAATGTTTCCATTATTACAGGTTTAGCAGTTTGCAAGTGTCAGTTGCTTGCAGTACAGAAGGTCATGAGATTTGAGGATGATGACAAGGGAACATTTGATGACACAAGGAGAGAGAAGTGAGTGAAATCCCAAGAGGGAATCAATAAAAGGGAGACCAAGGAGAAATCACGGACAGAAGAATGTTAGCCTGTTGGGGTGGTGAATGTGGGGGTACGGAAGAGTGACTTTGACACTCTTCTTAGCTAAGAAAGGGGAGGCCGGAGTTGTGCTTTGCACTTGGAGGCAATTCTTGAGTATGGGAAACTGTTTTCCTTATCTGACAAGGCTCAATGAATAAGTGTCCATGGCCAGAGGGTGACATGCTGGAGCTTAATATTTGAAACTATAAGATTACAAAAATATATGTCTATATAAATATAAGGCTATTTGCAAGTGATGGCAAGGTCAAGGGTGGGTCATCAGTCAGGTAGTCTGATAGAGTTAAAGATAAACATCACCAGATTTGTGGAAGCCAAGGACTTGTGAGGATGAAGTTGCTAGTGTTTCAATTTCATGGCTGTCAGAATCTTTTAGGATGATGGCAGGAGTAGGGACAGAAAAAAATATAATGGGTCTGGAATCAAAGTTTTTGATTAATACCAGGGAGTGCTTAAGAGTGAGTAGTGGACATAATGAATAGAGAAAAGAATGGGAAGAGTGGCCTGTGCCCTCATGAGAGAGGATTTTTTCCAGGAGTGCAATATATAATGTCTTGAAAGTGGCAATGAGGGCTAGGAGATTACCCATGGGTACTTGCTAACCCTGCAGACATGAGCTGGGGAAAAAGTGAATAGCCTACAGGTAAGCAGAGAGTTACTCAGAGTGATGTGGTTGCTGGCTTTGTAAATGGAAATGGAGGAAGGGAGCCAGGAATGTAGGTGGTCTCTAGGCAGCACATTTCATCTGTCTGAAATGAGGCAAAAGGGTAGAAGTGTCTTCAAAGAGGTCAGTGACAAGAAGTGACTTTGATGGCCATGGAAAGGCATAAGGTAAAGGTTTTAGAGGGAGACTCCCCAGTGAACGAAGTCTAGGTACAGAAAATAAAAGAGCTGTGTGAAGGCAAGAAAGTGGCAGAGGACAGACAACCCAAGGCTTGCCTTAGGGCGGTGGTTGATGGCAGGAATAAGAGGTGTGGAATTAAATGACCTCAAGGTTGTGCTTTGAAATTTTTGGTCTTGGTATTGAACTTCCATATCTGAGAGAGACTTTACTTGCTGACTGTTTCAAAGTGTGGCAAGCCAACTTTAAAGTCAACAGATGGTCCCCTTTCCTACTCACTCATCTTCACTTGCAGAGCGCCACAACTCTCAGCTGCTCCTCCCACACCGTTGTTGGCTGTGCAGCAATAAATGCCATCATCACTGTCTTCCACACTCAGGATGGTGAGAAGCTGCCCATTCTCCCGAATGCTGTACCGGGTGTCAAAGAGCCTGCAGGTCACAGAGGAAAATGGGACATTAGTGCGTCAGCTGAGTTTTCAGCTCTGACTAACTGATCAGATTGATGACTAGCCAGTGAGGAGGTAGAATAAAGGTGAGAGGTAATTTGAGTGAGTTCTAAATAATAGAAAAACTACTTCAGAATAAAAGTTGACATTTTATTCTAGTCTTTCCTAGTATCCAATAATCAAAGTCCTTTGAAAATGCTTTCAAAGAGAGATGTCTATTATGAGACCAAATATGAGGTTTACTTTATTCAGGAAAGTATATCAGAACAAAGACATATACGTCTTCTCTGTATTTACTAGGAAGTACTAACTAGATATTGTACATTCACGCATGTAAATGTGATGAGCATAAACGATTAAATATTTATAGAAGTAGCTAGCATTAAATTTATTATTCATTCTTTTTGGATACTTATTGAGGACTTAATATGTCAGGTGGAGTTCTAGTTACTTGAATACATAATAAAGCAACTTCAAAGTATAAAATATGTGCATTATGAATGTAATCTATTTAACTACATGCATACTGTTCACTGAGAAGAGAATTGGGGAAGCAGAAATTTGAGGGGAGGCATCAACATAAAAGTGAGTTGGGTTCTTTTTAACCAAATAAGAGTTATGTATGTCACATGTGTGTAGTAAGCAGAATAATGGTCCCCAAAAGACCCATAACTTTATCCACAGAACCTATGACTGTATTACTTTACATAGCAAGATGAATTCTCCCTGTATTAAGAATATTAGAATGGAATATTATGAATTATCAAAATGTAATGATAAAGATCCTTAAAAGATGAAAGAGGGAGGTATAACAGAGAAGGTGTGACAACGCAGGAAAGGCCAGAGTGATGCAATTTTTAGCTTTGTAATGGAGGAACACTGGTGGCCTCAGAAGATGAAAAAATAAGTAATTTGATTTTTTTCCCTGTAGCTTCTAGAAGGAACTAACTCAGCATTGCTAACACTGGGATTTTAGCCAGCACAATGTATTTCATATGTAACATGACCTTCAGAACTATGAGATAATAAATGTATGTTATATTAAGGCACTAAATTTATAATAATTTGTTATAATAATGGTGGGCAATAGATACAAATTTTGGTACCTGTGGAAGTGTGGTGCTGCTAAAACTAAAATGTAAGAAAAATGTAGATGTGGCTTTGCAGTTGGGGAATGGATAGAAACAGGAGAAATAGCAGAAGTATGCTAGAAAAAATCTAGATTTTCTTGAAGAGAGTGCTAATAGGAATATACATGGTATTGGCTCTGCTACTGAGGACTCAGAAGGAGGTGAAAAGTATGGTAAAGAAAATCTAAATCTCTCAGAGAATTCCTGGATTACTATGAACAGATTGTTGGTAGAAATACGAAATTTTAAAGCACTATCTGTGAGGGTCAGATGGAGAGAAGAGCATGTTAGTGGAATGTAAAGGAAGGGGTGTCTTTGAAACTGGTGGCAGAATGCTTAGTTGAATGGCATCCTGCATTACATGGAAAGCAAAACCCGTAAGTAATGAACTCCAACATTTAGCTGAGGAAATTTTCAAGCAAAATGTTGAAGTTGTAGCCTTGTTTCCTTTGCTGCTTTTAGTGACATTCAAGAGGAAAAGACAATTGAGGACAGAAGTGCTAAGCAAAAAAGGAAAAAGGAACCAGGACTTGATGATTTGTGAAATTCTCAGTCTACCCAAATTGCAATAGATGCTAAAAACTGTCCCAAATATTTTAATATGGTCTGTGAGCCTTCCTTCCCCAGAACTTCTGGGCCAGCTTGCCTGATAAGAGTACTTGAAGGCTAAGGCAATATGACTAACACCCCACATCACAACATGTATGATAGAAGGAAACACTAAGCATCAGTCAGAGGTTAGAGAAATGAAAGGTGACATTTTTCTGCATGCAAGTTCATAGACCGGTAGGCTATGGATACCAGTTGAAGCACTTTGTATAGACTGAATGTATACATCCCCTCCCCCTGCTCCCTAATTCACATGTTGAAATCTAATTCCCAATGTGACGATATTTGAAAGTGGAGCTCTGGGAGACGATTAGGTCCCCAGGTAGAGACATCATGAGTGGAATTCATGCCCTTATAAAAGAGGCCCAAGGGACTTGACCACCTCCCCCATGTGGGGACACAAAAAAAGATGGCTGTCCATAAACCAGGATGTGGGCCCTCATCAGACACTGTAATTACTGGCTCCTCAAACTTGCAGTTTACAGCCTACAACTGTGAGAATTTTCATTGCTTATAAGTTACCCAATACATGATATTTTGTTGTAACAGCTTAAACAGGTAAGAAAGCGTTGAACTTTAATCCATAATCTATCACCAGCTAGGGAGCCCAGGGATCCATTTGTCATAGGCTTTTTGGCATATTTTTGATAGCTATGATACTGATGAAAATATAACATAATCTTGATCTTCCAAGTAGGAATTTTACCTGTTTGAAAGGCTAATTCAGTGTATATTGTGAATTCCTTCTACATTTCAGAAGGGCCAAGGTGGCTTAGAGGTCAAATTCTCAGACATCATACTTCACTTTTTGGGGGTATTAGCAGGTTTCTCTTTGATTCCCACCATGTCTTGGAGTATGCACTCTCAGACTTAGGATATCACAATATTTAGTAATTATTATGAAGCGTCTTCTACTTTCTGATCTGGGGGCTTCCCCGACTTCCTCGTATCAATAAGCCATGAAATAGCCCTAAAATTTTTTGTGCCAATTGAGTCACTACGTTGCCTTAGAAAATTCTCTTAAGCTCACTGAACTTCAGACTTGATGTTTATACAATGAGGAAATTTGCATTTTACATATTCTTGAAGGTAGACTTTAATGCTAACAAGACTTGTGAGTGTAATTCCTTATCAGAAACATCAGGATACTCACTTGATGAGAATTTTATTTCTAGTCCAGGAAATCTCAGGTTGCGGGTAGGATTCCACTGCACACATGAAAGTAGCCACCTCTTCAACCAAGGCATCCACCGTTTCTAGAGGAGTAGTGATGACAGGAGCTGAAAGGAGGGGAGAAATCAAAACAGAACATTCTAGAATGGCATTTACTAGCCCTTCCTTAAGCATACAGAAGCCATCACATACCTGAATGAGAATTATATTACCCCAGCAAAGAAATTTGCCAAAAAGGAAGTAAGATTTTATAAGGAGAATGTTGTTTCTATTTCTAGACCAGATATTGGAGAAACAAAAGAAAAAGCTCTCGAGAGATCAGGGTTTATTTTATAAGAGTAGAGGTTAATCCAGGTTTCGTGGGGCCTGAAGTTATGCCGTTTGGGTGTCCTCTTTAAAGAAAAAAACGTAGAAAAAAAGATTTTTGTGCTACTGCAACACCAATCAACATGAAACGGAGTGAGTCTAAAGGGAGTTAGAGTGGAAAAAGATAGCAATTTTAACAATTGCTATTTAAGAACGTATGTTGTTCTAGGGCAAGTGTTTGGCACAGTGGGTAAGCTGTTGCATGAGGTGCTCTTATCCCATATCAGAATGCCTGGATTTTAGTCCCGGCTCCGTTTCCTATACCAGCTTCCTACTAATGTGCACCTTGAGAGGAAGTAGATAACAGCTCACATACTTGGGTTCTTGCCACCCATATGGGAAATCTGCATTAAGTTCCTGGCTCCTGGTTTTGACCTGGTCCAGCCTGGGATGTTATGGACATTAAGGGATTGAACCAACAGACAGGAGATACCTCTTTTTGTTCATCTGTATACTGCATTTCAAATAAAATGAAAATAAGCATACTGTATTTTCAATAAAAGAACATTTCCTCCCAAATTTTATAACAACATATGTTCATACAAACACATTGCTAATGCCCTCAGAGGCTTAGCGGGTGCCTGCAAATGGGAGACTCTGAAGCTTAAGCTCGATCAGATTTATAGAGAATTCACTCGAGAATCGAGTCAAATAGGAAGAGACTCAGTAATACAAAGGAAAACAACACAAGCATAAAATTAGCAGAGGATCTTAAGAGACATTTCTCCAAAGTAGATAAACAAATGTCAACAAGCAAGTCAAAAGCTGCTCAGCAAAATTTGCCATGAAGGAAATGCAAAGCAAAACCTGAACACATCATGCACAACCACTTGGGTAGCTGTACCGAAAAACAAGGCAGTAAATGTTGGTGTGGTTGTGGAGACAGTGACACTGTGGGCAATGCTGGTGGGAATGTAACATGGTGTACTGGTGGTTCTTCAAAAGTGAAGCAGAAACATTGTATGGCCCAACAACTCCACTTCCGGTAGACATTTGAAAAAATTGAAATTTAGACTCTTTGCAAATCAGTTGAGATACAGAAAACAAGTCTAGAATGTCAGTTTTGTGTGACATTTGACTTTTTAATATTGGCTTGCCAAGTTGATTAAGAACCTGCTGTGTGTACTCTGGCCTCAGAATCAGCCCTTAAGCCATTCAGATCCTGCTAAAAAGCCCATGAGACTTTCTCAAGCATGGAAAGCCAAGACACTCTGGCCAAAAAAAATGACCAAAATGAAAGATCTCTGTGAGTGAGATCCCAGCAGAAAGAACGGGCCATCAAAGAAGGAGGTACCTTTCTCTGAAGGGAGGAGAGAACTTCCACTTTGATTATAGCCCTGTTTAAATAATGTCAGAGTTTGTGAACTCAAGAGGTTTCCATAGCCTTGGCAGCTCATAACAAGAGCCTCGGGTGATTACTGATGTCATAAATAAGAGTGTCAATTGTTAAATCAACAACGGGAGTCACTGTGCATTTACTCCCCATGTAGGATCTCTGTCCTTAATGTGTTGTACTATGAGAATTAATGGTAAAACTAGTACACAAGCAGCATTGTATACTTTGTGTGACTGTGTGGTACAAACTGTTGAAATCTTTACTTAGTATATACTAAGTTGATCTTCTGTATATAAAGATAATTGAAAATGAATCTTGATGAAGAATGGGATGGGAGAGGGAGTGGGAGATGGGATGGTTTTGAGTGGGAGGGAGGTTATGGGGGGAAAAGCCGCTATAATCCAAAAGTTGTACTTTCGAAATTTATATTTATTAAATAAAAGTTAAACAAATAAAAAAAGAAACTGCTGTGTGTCATCCATTATACTTCTCATTTGCTATTTCACGTACTTATCACAACAAACATAAAGATAGATACTATTAGTATTACCATTTATAGGTGAGTAATAGAGGCTAAGGATATTTAAATAACTTGTTTGAATACCACAAAAATAGGAAGTTATGAAGCTGAACTTCAGGGTTAAACTTGGCTTAAAGTTCTTGTAAGATATACTATATTTTCAGTACTGGTTATGCTTAGTGAAAAAAGAGACAACAATATCAATTTCTATTTGTATATTTGAAATACATGAAAATTGTATAATAAATAAAATTTAAAAAATAAAAATAAAACCACAATTTCTACCAGCAGATATAGTTGGTTAAGTCTGCTTTAAAATATTCCAAAATTACCCAAAGCCACTTTTAAATTTTTACTGACACAATGAAGTAGTTGTATTTAATGATATTTGTTGACTCAGCAGATTATCTCTTGTTTACTTTCATTCTACTATGCAGCTTTCATCTCAGCCAGAGCCTGTTTAAAGTAGGGCATTATTTCTTCTCTCACTCCAAGGACCACATGAATAATGAATACATGAAAACAGAACACAACACAACAACTGGACCCAGAGAGAAGCCTAAATGGGATACTAGCCTCTTGGAGAGAGGCTGTGATATTGCCTTCCTTTGTATTTCTGGGTTGTAGCACAGGGCCATTGACATTGCAACTTCTAATAGAATAGCTGCTGACTGACAAGACCAAATGATAGGGTACACAAAGAAACGAGGTGTATTTGCTCCTATCTGTTTTAGTACAATGAGGACTCAAACTTGGAAAATAGTCATGTGTCTATAATGTCATGACGCAGTATTTTTTTGAATGAGAAAATGCATGGGAAATTTTATAAATCCACAAAGAGAATATTAGTATTGCTCATCATTTGGCATATTTTAGGATATGAGACATTTATTTAACAGGAGGTATAATAAATAAAGTAATTTTTGTTACATTTCTTTGTAGCTTGTAAGATTTATTGCTAATGAAGCTTAATAACCATGTATTAAAGCCTATCATTGATTCTTTGCAACAGAACATACACTGTGGATCCTTGCCTTTGGGGATGGCAGTGGGCAGAGAGCTAGGAGTTCTGTTCTATTTGTTAGCATTTCTGAAATGGCTTCCCCTAAAAGAATTTCCTTGGGTGAAGATGTGGCCTCATAGAGAATCATCTAAAACAGGCATACAGTAGACCCACCTTATCTAAGGGAAATACATTCTAAGACCCCCAGTGGATGCCTAAAGCCTCAGATAATACTGAACACTATATACCATCATTTTCCTAAACACACGTATCTATGATAAAGCTTAATTTATAAATTAGACACAGTAAGAGAAACAATGGTTTTAGGGTCATTATTAAGTAAAATAACTTGATCACTTGCGCTATGACAGTTTGTTCAATAATTAAGGTTCTACTTAAGTCACTAACAGGCAGGTAGCACATAAGCATAGATATTTGAACAAAGATAATTTACATCCCAGATGGGATACAGCAGTACAGCATAAGATTTCATCAAGCCATGCAGAGCCGCATACAATTAACTCATACTATTTTTTTTTTTATTTCTAGTGATTTCCTTTTACTGTTTTCAGACCCCAGATAACTGCAGGTAACTGAAACATTGGAAAGCTAAACTGAAGATAGGGATGACTACAGAGTTACATGGGGATGATCATTACCCAAACATTGCCAGCCCTCAGCATAACACATAACCGTTATGTTGAGCACTGGTAGGCACATCTTCATTATATGAGGAAAGCGAGACTCACAGATGCTATGTATTTTCCCCAAGGATGCACAAAAGATGTTGGGAACTTTAATCTTGATCTCAGCATTCTCTTGCAAGCCTTAAATGTCATTTTATATTTTCTTCATTATCAAGCCTGTGCCCGATGGTGTGTGGCCATAAAACCCCTACTCCTTGTCTCTCTAGTTCTTGAGCTGCACTGACCTTGGAAAGCATCAATTGTGAATTGTTTGAACCATCTGTCCTTGCTCCCCCTAAGTTCCTATAGCACTGCTGGAACAGCTGTTCAGGTCAGGGCCACTGCAAAGCTGTAGTCCCCAGCCCAGGTCCCCTTCTTATCCCTCCCCAGTTACTCTCCCCCAGTGACCTCAAGTCCTAGTTCACTTAGAAGTTGCCTACTTGATCTTTGGGAATGAGAAAGAGAAGGGAAAAATCTTGATGTTTCTGCTCTTTCTGTTCTTTAGGCCAATTATATTTAAAACAGCTGTGTTTCCCTAAACATGCTGTGAGTAAGTCTTTCAATGCACGTCAATCTAAAACACTCATCCAGGACTCGGTGTCCTGGATTTTGGTGACAGCTGTGCCCGCACTGACTTAGTCATATGTCCAGTCCGTGGATCCCATCCACACACATATGACTGAAAAGAGAAGGTTACTCAACTATATCTAAAGATAAATCACTTAGTCTGTAAAATGTCTAGGTATGGCAGAAATGGGGATAATTTTGAAAGCAGGGTTTTGGCAGAGTCATTTGTGCAAATCCAATGTTGTTTATATGAACTCTTACACGCCTGCACAATTTAATGCTACACCACATACTTCATCCTCCCTGATAAAGCAGTAAGTGTTATTGAAGTGTGTGGTTCTGGCAACTATTCAACAAAACATTCACTACTTTCATACATAACAATATGTAATATTCTCCCACTTGGTGTTAAGAAATTGAACTCATTTTCAAAAGAATCACTAGTTAAAATGATTGAGAAAGAGTATGACCCCCCCCCTTATCTTTGAAACATCAGGAATCTCAAACTAAAACAACAAACTATTAATTCTTCAAAGTTAAGAATTACTTTTATTGAGGAATGATAGGCAGATTTGGAAAGAACTCCCTAAATACTCTTGCACTATTTTAAATGTGTCGTTTCTTTGGTCATATGTACCTGGGTAGTTTCCTTGATTTTTTCATGATAAAGGATTTAGGAAAAAAATGTGCCATCTATAAAACTCCTTTTCTTATTACATATTGCCAAAAATAGAGAAAATAACTGTAATAGTTTGGGGAAACATTTTTGTTGCTTTCATTAGTATTAAAATATTAACATATGTTTGATATTCTTCCCTACCAATATTTCCCACACACTTTAATCTTTGGAATTTTTAGATTGTGTTTTCATGAAATTATTTATACTTGGGACTAGCGTGCATAGTAAAAGGATGTTTGTTGTCCTAGGGATGGTGTTTTGGCAGAAGGTTGCTGCTAAGCCTATCCTCATTTAGATTTTATAATAAACAGTGTTGATAAAGAAAAATATTGTTCTAATTTTTTATTTTAAAAATTCAAGCATAGCAGTAAATATAGTATAAGAAATAAAAATGGATTGATGATCTGATTTCTTTACTTAAAAACCAGTATGTTTGCCTTAAATACTACTTCTCTGCCACTCTACTTTGAAGTTTTCAAAAAACAGATAATGTGCATCTGAATTAAGGGCTTTATCTGTATATTTTGGAAACGGAAAATCACATCTTTCTAGTGTGAACGTTAGAAGTCATTCCTGTAGGGAGGTTTTAGGTTTGTGTGTGTGTGTGTGTGTACCAAATGCTGATTTGGATTATCAAAATCAATTGCCCTGCTCCTTATAGGAGTGAGTTTCATAAATCTTCATATTTTGCCATATCACTTTCATGTAACTACACAATTCAGAATAACACAAGCAAGACTTTTGACAACCGATAAGTCTAAACATCTAAGTGCTGCCTTGCCGGACATCCGTTGTATGATCAGGAAGTATTAAAATCTTCTGAAGTCAATATGAATATCTTTCTGGCTATTATTAGCCATTTGAAAATGTCTAGATTCCCTTTTATCTAAACACACCTTAGAGTATTGGTTGGCAATTAAACATTCAAATACATGTGGATATGCCAGTCCATTCAAGGCAGATGGAAAAATGAGAAGGAACAAATTTTAAAAAAACCTATGAAATCAAAAGTTTCGAAAGGAGGAAAGCTATGTATTATCTGCATGTGAACCTTGACCTTGTGGTTTCAGAAATTTTCGGGAACCACAAGATCTAAAGACACATTTGTTATCTAGATACAGATACTACCTTCACTTACCTCCATAATACAAACTTTTTCTGCACTTTGATAAAGTAATATAAAGAGCAAATCATTAATATGCATTCTCAAACACAGAACTCTAGTGTAAGAATTGAATTTAAAGCTCTTTAACTGATATCATTCAATCTGCTTTTTCATGTCTTTTAAAAAAAAATTTCAGCAAAGCATTTGGTTACCTTGCAAATCAAGTATTTTCCTGTCTTTCTGACTTGTAACACACTAGTCTCTGTTTCATAATACACTGGCCAGAAACCATATCACTGTGGACATTCTTGCTACTGCAACAGGTGTTTGTCAGTTTCTTAAGTTGCTTTCCTTTCCCCCTGAGGTGGTGTTATTTCCGGTACATTCCAGAGGCTCTGAAAAAAACTTCTGCACTCTCTTAGCAAGCCAAATCATGACTCCAGCCTCAAAGTTATTGAGAGCGCATTGTCTTTAGTTGTTTAATATATATGGGAAAATGGTGTGTGTCCTTTCGTATTTCTGATCTTCAGCAACTAAAATATTAAGAGTTTAGTGAAACAGAAAGTGGAAATGATTTTTGTACAGAAGCATAGTCTGGGTGACTGGGAGTGGAGTGAATTATATTCCTGGCAGGTCTGATGTGAAAGGTTTTCATCAGCCATTTAGACCACCCTGAAGTTGGACACGCACACAAGCAAAACAGACTCTGATAACTTGCAGTCCACCTGCTAATGTTTCCCTGAGAAGTAAGGCTACGCGTGCACTGTATGGCCAATGATTTTATTACAGAATTTAGCAGGGAAATATCAGTAGAGGGGAGACCATGCAGCAATTGCTTAAACATAGAGTTAACTCGCTCTGCCTACATTCCAGGCCCCTTCATCAAGTCAAACCCGAGCACACCATGCAATGAATGAGCTGTGATGGGAGCACACACACACTTTAGAACTGGGACAACGCAACAAGCACATCACTCAGACCAACCTTTTGGAAGTTTCTCCGTCCCACTGAAGGCAACCAGAGTGAGAATATGTACCAGTGGAATGTTGACGAGCTCTCTCATGGTTGATCCAGGCTCAGGCAGGAGAACAACACAAGGAAAATACCCCCGCAGTTTACATTTTACAGCATGGTTTGTCACAATAGGGTCGTCTGCTAATGACTGTTTGTGTCAGCAGCTCCACAGGCTCTAAGTATAATCAGGAATTCTCAGACTTGGCTGTAATGATGGACGTGGCCAGCTGGTGAGTATCCACTTAGGCCAGTAATGCAAGTGGAGGGCTGGAGGAACAAGGGAAAGAAAATCTCTTTAGAATCCCTTTTAAGACAGTGACAGAAGGACAATACCAGATGTCTTTTGCAACCACTGCTGTATTATTCCCTGTAGTGGGGATTTCTTGAGTTTCTGATTCAGCCCACTGGCTCCCCGGCACTCAAACCAGAAACCTCGGTCTCTCTGATTTTGACGTTTCCCTGCTTCTCACCCCACCCTCCAAATCTAACCCATCCTAGTTCCTACAGATTTTATGAACTAAATAGTCCTCTAGTTCTTCTCCTTTTATTCAGACTACCCTCATGCTGCCCCAGCTTCCTCCCCCAGGTATTCATCTTTTCTAAGTGGTAGTCATAGCTCCTGTATTTTCTCCTCGTCTTGTGTCTTATCAGGTTGTACCCTCTTTCAGACAGCCCCTTGTACTCAGAAGCATCCAGTAGTTGCTCATCACACACACACACACACACACACACACACACACAAATCTCCTTAAAATCTCCTTAATATGGCATCGGAGGCTTTACTGAAATTTATCTGCCTTGTTAGCATTATATTTTATAATCTTCATTTTCCTCTCCTGTGTTTCTTTTTAACTATTTTTCTCTTAGGTCCTTTTTCTTTTTCTAATTGGTGATAGAAGTTTTTAATCCTCTAGATGTAATCATTTGTTGCATGTCTGTTATATATTTTGCAAATATTTTCTAAGTAAAACACGTGTACTATCTAGCTATAGTATTGGGTCAGGGTTCTTGGGGACCTCCATGCTTCACTAACAATAAATGATGTGTAAATCATTTTAATCTTGCTTTAACAGAAGTTGTATCTATCCTCTGGGATCCCTTGCTATTCAAATTTACAAATTCCTTTTTTTTTTTTTTTTTGGAATTGGATTGGCTGTTATAAGCTTGATTCACTAAATTGCAATCAAATAGTCCGAATAATAGGATTTTACTAGAAGAGATACAGACCTGATCAATTTCTTGCTCTGAAAATACCTTGTGAATGCCACATATTTTATGGGAAATTCCATCATTATCAGCATGGGCAGGGTGGCTACGTGCCATTTCCCCTAAGTAGCACTAGTAAAGCCAAGGGGTCTTGGAATCTCAGTGACTGCGGATTTGTAAGCCAAAGTCCAGCTCAGGATCAGTGCCAACCATCAATGAGAGGAAGCCCAAGGTGCATCACTCAAATGACCTCTTTATTCAAGGCTATTGGACAAACCTTAAGGACATTGTGCTAAGTAAAATAAGCCAATCACAAGTGGACAAGTATTGCTTGGTTCCACCTGTATGAGGCATGGAAAATTGTCAAACTCAGAGAATCAGAAGATAGAATGTGGCTGTTCAATGATAGGAGTTTCATTTTTGCAAAATGAAAAAGATCTAGAGCTTTGTTTTACAGCAATGTGCAACAGTTAGCATTACTGTATACCTAAAAATGATTAATGCATTAAATTTTATAGTATATGTGTTTGTTTATTGAGAGAGAGAGAGAGAAAGGGAGAACTCTTTTTATCCATTATTCACTCCCAATGCTTGCAACAGCCAGGGCTGGGCCCGACCAAAGCCAGGAGCCTGGAACTCCATCAGGGTCTCCCATGTGGTTTTAGGGACACAACTGCTTGAGCCATCATCTGATGTGTCTAAGGACTGCATTAGCAGGGAAATGAATTGGAAGTAGAGTAGCAGGGATTCGAACCAGGCACTCTGATTTGGAATGCAGGAGTCCCATGCAGCAGCTTAAACCCACCCAAGTTGTGTGTTTTTTACTCCAATTTAAAAAAGTAAATTAATCTATCATCAGCAAATAGAAGCCGTTGCAATAGCAAAGCTTTGGCACTCCACAGATCCCAGTGTGTGGCAACTGGAGACTGCCAGCCAGCTACACTCCCTGCAGCAAGTTCTTGGAACCCAGTATAAAATGACTTTGTATACTATGCTACAAACAAATACATTCCTTATGATCGTAAGATCACTCAGCCACAGAGTGTAGAGACTGGATGCCAGCCAGTTAACTGACTCCTTCTGTGGCTTGTTGAGAACGCATGGTGCTGATGGCACTTCAGTAACATATTCGAATGCCAGTTAAGATTGCTCTCCTCCCCTGGGATCTCTGCTGGCTAAGATTCCTGGGAAGTAGGCTCATTAGGCAGGTAGCTCATTTTGGACCACACTGAACTTTGACTATGACCTTGTCTAAATAAGATCGGAGTTTGTGAACTTAAGAGGCTTCCATAGCTTTGGCAGCTCATGACAAGAACCTTGGGTGATTACTGACATCATAAATAAGAGTGTCAATTTGTTAAGTCAACAACAGGAGTCACTGTGCACTTACTCCCCAGTGGAAAGAACGGGCCATCAAAGAAGGAGGTACCTTTCTGTGAAGGGGGGAGAGAACTTCCATTTTGACTACGACCCTGTCTAAATAAGACCGGAGCTGGCAAACTCAAAAGGCTTCCATAGCCTTGGCAACCCATGACAAGAGCCTAGGGTGATTACTGATGCCATAAACAAGAGTGTCAATTTGTTGAGTCAACAACAGGAGTCACTGTGCACTTACTCCCCATGTAGGATCTCTGTCCTTAATGTGTTGTACTATGTGAATTAACGGCATAACTAGCACTCAAACAGTACTTTACACTTTGTGTTTCTGTGTGGGCGCAAACTGCTGAAATCTTTAGTTAATATATACTAAATTGATCTTCTGTATATAAAGATAATTGAAAATGAATCTTGATGTGAATGGAATGGGAGAGGGATCAGGAGATGGGAGGGTTGCGGATGGGAGGGAAGATATGGGGGGGGAAAGCCACTGTAATCCAAAAGCTGTACTTTGGAAATTTATATTTATTAAATAAAATAAAGCAGGTTATCAAAAAAAGTTTTTAAAAAAGGAAAGAAGGAGGAAGAAGGGAGGGAAGAAGTAAAGTATCTTTATTAGAAACATATCTATGAAATACATAAGATCTGTTGTCTTTATATTAATAAAAAAGCAAAAAGTCAAGAATGTGACTTGGAAAAAAATATCATGTGTGTCTCAGTAGGAGTTTCATTTTAAGAGCAATGCACAGCCATAGGAGTGTAGATAGCAACTGAAGCTACAAAAGCAAATAATATAACCTAAGAGAAGAGGACAAAAGACCAAAGGTAATGCGCTGGAAGAAGTGACTGACAAGGAGTAGCCAGAGAGACAGAAAAATTAAAGCAGTGCAAATGTGTAGAGAAGGGAAGACAGCAATTCCAGAAAAAGAGAGTCCTTCCCAGGTATACATTGAGTGTGATGAGAGGGCCTGAAAAAGGGACACTGGAAGAATTTTGTTAATTTTAGCAGTCCACAAGTCATTTATGACTTTGGTAAAGGGAAGTATGAGGGAATGATGGTATATGTGTTGAGAAACCAGAGTGGTAGAGATTGAAGGATGAATATAAGATAAAGAAATGTGTCGCCCTGGGGCAAAAAAATGTCCTACGTGAAGGATCTCTATGAGTGAGACCCCAGTAGAAAGAAGGGGTAATCAAAGAAGGAGGTACCTTTCTCTGAAGGGAGGAGATAATGTCCACTTTGCTTATGGCCTTGTCTAAATACTGATGGAGTGTGTCGTCACAAAAGTTTCCCCTAGTCTTGGAAGCTCATGGCAAGAGCTTCAAGTGATCACTGATGTCATAAATAAGAGTGTTCATTGTTAAATTAACAACAGGAGTCACTGTGCACTTACTCCCCATTCAGGACCTCTGTCCTTAATGAGTTGTTCTGTGAGAATTAACTGAAAACTTGTTCTCAAACTGTGCTTTTTATGGTGTGTATGTGTGTGTGTGGGTGGGTGCAAACTGTTGAAATCTTTACTTAGTATAGATTTGGTCTCTGTATATAAAGTTAATTAAAAATGAATCAGTGAAGAATGGTATGGGAGAGGGAGTAAAGTAGGATGTGGTGGGAGGGAGTGGGGGTGGGAGGGTGGGTAAGGGGGAAAGAACCGCTATATTCCTAAAGTTGTACCTATGAAATTTGCATTCATTAAATAAAAGCTTTTAAAAAAAGAAAATGTGTTGAGAAATCAGAGTGATATAGATTGAAGAATGACTATGAGATAAAGAAGTGGGGATAAGAAGAAGTATGATTCTGTTCAGAAGACTGAGTATGAATGACATAAGAAGTATTTTTCAAAAATTTATCTTGGAGGTATGCTGTGTAGGACCCTGTGTAGAGCATGAGGTTAAAGACAAAGGAAAGAGAAGATAGTTCAAGGTTTGAGGGACAGCTGGAGCATCAGGGGTCTGGAGCATGGTATCTTGTAATAGAAGATGATAAGTAAAGCATGAGAAGAGAAATCTGTAGAGAGGATAGCAAGAGGTTTATTGAGCCCTCATCTGATGTCTTCTATTTTCCCTCTACAGCGGAAGGTGAGGTTTAGAAGATTAAAGCAGTCATCAGGGAGAGTAAGAGATTTAAGAATTCAAGAGAGCACACAATGAGGTCTTGGTTAAGAGTGATGCTGATACTCAAATTCTCTCCAGCACTTTTTTTTCCTCCAGCACTTCACAGCTTCCCAATGACAGATGTTGAATTGTTAGATTTATTTGGGGGCTGAGGAGGGAAAGGGTGTTAGTGATATATTAGTCCAAGGAAGTAGCATTCCAGAAGAGACAATGAAACGTGATACTAGGATGGAAAGTGGTTTTATTGAGAATAGAGTTAGAACAGCTGAGGACACCGATGGGACAAAGAGGGTAGGAAAATGGACAAGGGGAACATGGACTGTAATGAGAATGGTTCAGAAACGTGGGTTGATTTAAAGTAGTTTAGGGCAGCACTCAGGCCTCAGAATCAGCCCTTAAGGCATTCAGATCCCACTAAAAAGCCCATGAGAATTTCTCAGGCATGGAAAGCCAAGACACTCTGGCACAAAAAAAAAAAAAAAAAAAAAAAAAACCCTAAATGAAAGATCTCTGTGAGTGAGATCCCAGTGGAAAGAACAGGCCATCAAAGAAGGAGGTACCTTT